GGTGGTAAATCTTTCTTTTTACCTCCATTTTAATCTTCAGAAAACATAGTTTTCATCACATTGCTTCTTCAGTCTTTTGTGGCTCTCCATTACGTGATAAAGCCTTACCATTCAAGGCTCCCTAAGCCCATTTCACGGTTGATGTGTTCATTCCTCAAAGGCTAACAAATCCTAGGTTTCAGTGAGGGAGAGAAGTAACATGTATCAAGCACCTACTATCACAGAGCTATGTGTTTGACATATATTATCTCATTTAATTCTCCAACTATTCCATAGGTTAGGTATTCTAATTCCTATTTTACAGTAAAGAAAAGTTAGGCCTAAAGAGATTACTTTAGGCGCTTAAACGTTAGTGAGTGACTGAGCTAAAACTCAGACTTAATTTTATTTGGCTTGAAATCCTATGCTCTTTTTCAGTAACCCACAGGACTTATAAACCTCCACTGGTCTGGCCCCTAAAGTTCCATGATAACTAAAACTCTATAAATGAAAAATTGAAAAAAGATCATTGAAGCTTAAATCTCCACTGCCTGCAATGCTGAATGTAGGTTATGATCTCAAAGGCAAGAAAAAAAAAAAAAAAGTGTTTTCTAATCAGCCAAGGAACAGGGACAGAATTATTATAGACTGAGAATAGCCTAGAAGAGATTTTAGCCTGGGTTTATAGAACAAACGTATTAGATGAAACAAGAGGGGAGAAAGAGGAAGAAAATGTTAGGAGGAAGAGGAAGGTCATTAAAACCACTAATATTTGTTTTAGATTAGTGATTTTATTTACAAAGCACTTTCCTTGAAATTGCTGCTTTAAAAGAAATAGAGGAACAATCAGATACTGAGTTACTGGATTCCATGTCTGTAAGAAAATGCTTTTTTTAGTGTCATGAGATGACTTTCTTATCTAAACCGGGAGGGAACAAATAATTTTTTTTCACTCTTTTAAAACAATTTTTAAAATTTAAGAATAACATATAAAATGGTACATACATCCTATATATACAGCTTGTCATATTATCACAAAGTAAAAACATGCAATCAGCCAGGAAAGAGAACATTATCAGGATCCCAGAAGCCCTCCTAAGTGCCTACACCCAGTTTTTACCCTTCTCACCTCCCCAAAGATAAATACTTTTGTGACATCTAAGACAGATTAGTTTTGCTTGCTTTTGAATTTTACATGGAGTCATACAATCTATATTCTTTGTATCTGGTTTCATTTGCTCAGCATTATGTTTGTGAGATTCACCCATGTTGCATGTAGTAGTAATCTGTTTATTTTCATTGTATAAAGTATGCAATTATATGAATATATCATAATTTATTCTTCCATTGGTGGACATCTGGGTTGTTTCTAGGTTTTGGCTATTATGAATAATGCTGCTATGTGCGTTCTTGTACATGTCTTTCATGAACATATGCATGCATTTCTATTGGGTATATGCATTATCTAGGAGCAGAATTGCTGGGTCATAGAACTTGTGTATATTTAAGGAGCCCTGGTGGCACAATGGTTAAGTACTCAACTGCTAAATGAAAGGTCAGTGGTTCGAACTCACCAGCGGCTCCATGAGAGAAAGTACCTGGGAATCTGCTCCTATAAAGATTCCAAAAAACCAAACCCACTGCCGTCGTGTTGATTCTGACTCATAGTTACCCTATAGCACAGAGTAGAACTTCCCCATAGGGTTTCCAGGGAGCAGCTGGTGGATTCAAACTGCCGATCTTTTGGTTGACAGCCAAGCTCTTAACCACTGTGCCATCAGGGCTCCCCTGTAAAGATTGCTGTTGTTGTTGTTAGGTGCCATGAGGTTGATTCTGACTCACAGTGACCCTATGTACAACAGAACGAAACACTGCCCAGTCCTGCGCCATCCGCTTGATCATTGCTTGCTTGAGTTCATGGTTGCAGCCACTGTGTCAATCCATCTTGTTGAGGGTCTTCCTCTTTTTCCCTGACCTTCTACTTTACCAAGCATGATGTCCTTCTCCAGGGACTGATCCCTCCTGATAACATGTCCAAAGCCTGAGAGATGAAGTCTCATCATCCTCGCTTCTAAGGAGCATTCTGGCTGTACCTCTTCCGAGACAGATCTTTTTCGTTCTTTTGGCAGTCCGTGGTAGTATATTCAATATTCTTCGTCAAACCATAATTCAAAGGTACCAATTCTTCTTCAGTCTTCTTTATTCATTGTCCAGTGTTCACATGCATATGAGGCAATTGAAAACACCATGGCTTGGGTCAGGCACATCTCAGTCCTCAAAGTGACATCTTTGCTTTTTAATACTTTAAAGAGGTCTTTTGTAGCAGATTTGCCCAATGCAATGCGTCATTTGATTTTTTGACTGCTGCTTCCATGGGTGTTGATTGTAGAAACGCTATGGGACGGTTCTATTCTGTCCTATAGGGTCTCTATGAGTCAGAATCAACTCGATGGCATATAACAATAACAACAAGATAGTGCCAAACAATTTTCTAAGGGTATTTCTCCATTTTACACTCCCACTAGCAGGGCTGGCTACATAATTTGTGGGGTATACTGAGAAATAAAAATGTGGAGCTGTTGTTCAAAAAGTAGGTAAAATGTCCCATCAAAAAGTACTAAAATATAAAGCTTTTTTCTTCCTTCCACAATCTCTTAACTTGCCATGTCCTCTTTATTTACTATGTAGTATCATTCTAAGTAAGAAAAAATATTATTTTAAATTATTAGCACAAATTTTACCATTGATCTTATATTCCAAATTTCCAGTTTAAAAAGCAAATTTAAAGAAGCATTTAACTTGTATATGAAATTATCAAAATTACACAATTTGTATTTTGTAGCTTGTACATACATATGTACTCCATTCTCATCAGAACAATAAAAAGGCTGAACAAAATGAACTCAACTATTTTCATTTCTTTTCTTGACATACACACATTCTACCCACACTCTTTACCTTCAGCTTGTTGATAACGATGGATTGAAAGGAAAAGGCCCTGTGGTTGCCTTATCTTTCACCTTTTTGCTAGGCCATTGTTTTCAGTGTAAGTGGCTAATTCAAGGAAATAACACAAGTAAGAAAGGATATGACAGGATTCCCTGGTCATTTGTGTTTCTTAGAACACTGTTGCCTTCCTGCAAAGTAAGTTCTGGTTCATAAGGAAATCTTGGCCTCTTGGGGCTATCACTCTCCCTTCCCACAGCTTACTCAGTGGTAGATAAAACATGCTTCTCTTGTACTGGCTTTAAGTCTATCTAAACTGCCACTCATTGTAGATCCATCAGAATTCTGTGCTCATGGGGCACCTTGAATGTTATATGCAAACAGATTGGTTAGGTCTGGTGGACACTCACATTGTGTGCATCTCTTCTGCTCACGTTCATGCTCCATTGTCCCTTCAGACTTCACTTATAAAACCCACATTCAAAGATAAAATTTTAAGAATTTCAAGATGGCAACAGCTGAACATTAAACCAAGCACAGGATTCTTCTGATTGCAGGGTCCTGTGCAACTGCACAGGTTACACATCTGTGAAGTCATCTCTGGTTTAAGAGTTCCAGTTAATCCACAATTTTGCCAACACTTTCTCTTGTCAATCTCTTAATTTTAGCCATTTGGTAGGTGTCTTAGGTTGGGTTCTCCAGAGGAGCAAAACCAGTGAAGTGTATATTTAAATATATATAGAGAGATTTATTTTAAGGAAGTGGCTCATATAATAGTGGAGGCTGGCAAGTCCCAAATCTGTGGGTCAGGCTGGAGGCTTCTCCTGACTTGCATGGTTGCAGGGGCTGATGAGCCCCAAACCTGCAGGTAAGGTGGCAGGTTGCTGGTTCATGGGGTTGTGGGAGCTGGTGAATCCAAAAACTGCAGGTCAGGCAGCAGGCTAAAGGCTTCTCAGGTCCCAAGAACCCGAGGTCAGAGACTAATAAACTGAATGCAGGATTGAGAGATAGAGAAAGAAAGGGAGCTACAAGCTTTGCTAGAACATCTGTTTTTGTCATGGATGCAGGACACCCACCCGCCCCCGCCCCCGCCCCTGGAAACTCCTCTTCCAACTGATTGGCTGCCCACATCAGATCACAAAATGGGAGGTGATTACATAGTGTCTGCCAAACCACTGAGAATCATAGCGTAGCCAAGTTGACACATAACATTAACCATCACAGCAAGTGTGTAGATATCTCATTGTGGCATTTACTTACATTTATCTGATTATTAATGAGAGTAAGCATCTTTTCATACTTTTACTGGCCATTTGGCTATTCTTTTTTGTGATGTGCCTGTTTAAGTCTTATTGATTTTTCTCTTGGTTGTCTTTTTTTCTTAATTTGTAACAGTTGTTTTTATATTCTGGATACAAGCTCTTTGTAAATTATGTACCTAGCAAATATCTTCTCCCACTCTATGGCTGCTTTTTTGCTCTCTTATAGTGTATTTTGATTGGCAGAAATTCCTACTTTTAATATAGTTTAATATATCAGTCTTTTCCTTTGTGGTTAAACACTATTTTATATCCGGTTTCAGAATGCTTTGGCCTTCCCCCTAATCATGAAGATATTCTTCCTGTATCATTCTGAAGTTTTATTGTTTTGCTTTTTACATTTAGATCCATAATCCATCTGGAATTTATTTTTTTGTAATTGGTGAGAGATGAAGATTGGCTAATGCTGTTTTTAGTCAATAAAAAGATGAAGATGATGATTATGTAAAATAAAAGAATCAAAAGTGTATTCCCTGTGTGATTATTGAAGTAGTGGGTGAATGAGACAGGTATTTGATGATTGAATGGGCCATCACTACAATCACTTTTAGCAACTCTCCAGGTGAAAGTACTTAAAAAAGCTTTTGAAGGGAAATCTGAAAAACGTTTCACCTCAGATGACGCTGGGATAACTTTTCTTTCTCCCATTGTAACCTGAAGCAATCTCTTTCTCTGATTACCTGAAAGTTCGAAGCCAGACGGTCGATTAGCTCGGGGCTCGCTCCGCCGAGGCGACTCTGCTAGTTCGGTCTGGATCACTTCATCCCGGAACTAGGTTGGTGTCCGTTGTTGTGAGTGTCGTCTCTGCTCGACCGGGGTGGCTGGCGGTTTTGTCGCCACCATGGCCAGCCCAGACCCTCGGTACTCCTCCTTCTCCATCGAGGATGACTTCAACTATGGCAGCTGCGTGGCCTCTGCCAGCGTGCACATCCGAATGGGTATGGCATTCACTCCTTTAGTCTTTCCTGACGGCCCGTCGTCGGTCTTGCGGTGCGGTCGGCCTCTGAAGGCGGATTTTCAGCGTGGTCGGCCGCCGCGGCTTCAAGGGGAGAGCGCCCACGGCGCCTTTCCCCTGTCCCCGGGGATGAGAGGCAGCGCCCTCGCCTAAAAATTCGGAGGAAGAGCTCCTTCCCCTCCCCAGAGGCTCAGGAAGGAAGAGCGCCCAGTGAGGCAAGATGGTCTTCTAGCTCTGAGCTCCGGAACTTAACCTGGAGCCTATTCTGCTTTAATCTCGTCTCTTTTTCGGTGCGAGAGGGCTTGATGAAAACCTCAGCAGCCTTAACTGGCATTCTTTATATTAAAAGAAACTTAAAAGATTTCTTTTTTTGGTGAAAATAGGTTTATTGTATCATCTTTGTAACGTGCAGCTGAAGGAAGTTATCTGTTTGAATGTTTCAGCTTTAGGGGGCATGAACTGCCTCATAAGTTTCCATTTACTTGTCCCTCTCTACTGTGAGACTCTCCTAAACTCCACAGGAGCAGGGATCCTGTCTATCGTGTTCGCTGTTTTCTCTCCACAGGATCTAGAACTTAACATGTTTTGAGTATTACCTTTGAGACAGTTCCTTAAAATGGAAGCTTCCTGTTGTTGTTTGGTGCCCGGGAGTCGGTTCCGACTTACAGCGACCCTATGTACAACAGAACGGAACACTGCCGGGTCCTGCGCCATCCTCACGATCCTTATTATGCTTGAGCCCATTGTTACAGCCACAGTGTCAGTCCATCTTGTTGACTGTCTTCCTCTTTTTCGTTGGTCCTCTACTGAAGCTTCCTAAATCAGTAAAAATACCATTAGTTTTTACTTTGCATGGTATTAGTTTTATGATGTAGTATTCAGTGGACAGAAGTTAATTTGAATTGAAAACGCTCAGCTTCGTGTAAGTGGAATAATTGTCGGCTCTAGTTCACCATTTGATCACATAAATTGCCCCAGATTTTCATCCTATTTTAGCAGCTGGAATTGCTCTTGAAAGGGGATTGTGAAGATAGTTCTCACGCACTAAGAATCTTGGTGTTCAGCATCTTTATTTCTGGAACTGAATTTTAAAATATTTTGGCACATGAGCACAGCTTTTTAGTGTGTGTCTTTTAAACTAAGAAGGCATTCTGAAATTTCATTTGTAAAATGGATAATGACAGTGTGATACAATGGAATAATTAACTGATACTGAAGTCAGAATCCACTGAAGGCAACTAACAACAACACTGGAGGTACTCGGGAGTGGATTCCAACACCTGGCTAACTCATAGATACCAAAGGGAGATTGAGGGTTCCTGCTGGTCCCAGAAAATGAGGGAGGGACTAGGTCACTTCAGAGAAGGACAGGAATAGAAAATGGCAGCCATTGCAGGAAATGGAGTATCTGTGGACATGGTGTCAGGAGTGTGAACAGAAGGCATTCCTTAGAGAGGCCTTGTTCAGTCAAGGTACTACCAGTATAAGGAAACATTTGAATTACTAACATAATTTTAAGAAACAAACCACATTTATTGAGCAACCCCTTCATACTTCATCTAAAGGCAGTGGGGTAAACAAAAATTTTGAAAGTCACAGTCCCTGTCATCAAGGCATTTCAGTTAGGATGGCTACTAGCAGGGGCGGATTATCCAGTTTACTTACTAATCTGTAGTGAATGATTTCACATTTTTTCACTACGTCAAAGATTCTGCTTCTAGGTATGGCTGGCATCTCTCTCTCCCAACCCCACAGCACTGTCCTACAGAATCAAAGCTGCTTTTCAAATTTACAGTCCCTGATGGGGCGGATGACCCAGTAAGCAAGGTAATCACGATCTTACTTGTGCTTAATTACTAAACTGTAGTGAACAATTTCACATGGGTTTCAGCTTACTGTGCTTACCTTGCATATTGGATAATCTGCCCCTGGTCCAGGTGAGAGATCATGCAGTTTCTGGTGAGGGTACTAGCAGAGGAGACTGAAAGAGGTGGACCTGTTCTACTTTTGAAAGTAGTAGTAGCTATGGTTAAGAGCTATGGCTGCTAACCAAAAGGTCAGCTGTTCGACTCTACCAAATGCCCTTTGAAAACCCTATGGGGCAGTTCTACTATGTCCTATAGGGTCGCTGTGAGTCAGAATAGACTGGTTGGCAGTGGGTTGTTTTATTTATTTATTTATTTATTTTTAGTAGCTATAGCACTTGCTGGTGGATTAGATATGGGGACAAGGAAAAGGAGGGGAATCAAAGATGTCCTATGTGGAGGACGGTGGTGCTGGTTACTGATGAGAAGGCTGGGAGAAAGACAGATTTGGGGTGGAAATTAAGAGTTCCTGTTTCAGCCGTGTTAAGTTTGAGATGTCAGGTAGAAGAGAAATCAGGACTCTAAATAAAAATTTGGAAGATGTTGTTTAGCTGGTGTTCTTTTCATTCTGAATCTTTTTCTCCCCCTTGTGAACTGTGTGTGCATGTTCTTTGCCACGTTTATATTAGTTATTGAAAATGGTTGTCAAATGTTGCTTTTCCCTGAGATCCAGTTTAAGGTCCCATTTTTAAAGTGTACAGAAAAAGTTTGTAGTCTGGAATATTTGCATAAGGATAATTTCCTATGATGGATTTATAGGCTTAGCATAAATTTCTTTAAAATATTTTTCTATTAGAAAAGCTAATAAATATTGATGATATCTTAAAAACAGATTAGCAAAGAACTGAACATGAAAATCATCCTTGGTCATACTGCCCAGAGAAACCCACTATTAACACCTTGGTGTACATTCTTCCCGTTTTTTATTACAGATGCACATGTGTACACATACACATAGACAAACATTAGATCCTTCTGTGTACACTGTTTTGAATTGTAAAAACATTCCATAAAATGATAAGACTTAACATTAACTTTTGCTTCTTAGTCAAGAGTATGTATCATATGGAGTAGATCTGAGTTACATAATGGGGTATCAAAAGTAACGAATATGTTTTTTTTTTTGGCAGCCCAGAAAATCCCTTGGGGGAATAATGGTTTGATCTTTGGTTTAATAATTAAATTTGCAGAAAGATAGCCCAAATAACATTGCATGGTAGTAGTATATATTTTTTTCTTTCTGCTTTTATGTTTTACTGAACATATAATTTAATCATTGATTCACAGTATCAGTTGTACTTTGGCCTAGGTGTAGGTATATAACTGTCAGACATCAGGGCGTTTTTAGGAAAGTAAATTGTAGATGTGTTTTGGAGATGAGCACTATTTACCTTTTTTTGGTTCAAGATATATACCTACACCTAGGCCAAAGTACAACTGATACTGTGAATCAATGGTTAAATTATATGTTCAGTAAAACCTGTTTAAGACGTTGTTAGCTGCTGTTAAGTTGGCTCTCAACTCATGGCGACCCCGTCTACAACAGAACGAAATACTGCCTGGTCCTGAGCCATCCCCGTGATCAGTTTTGGATTGCATCATTGTGATCCATTGGGTTTTCATTAGCTGATTTTTTCAGAAGTAGATTGCCAGGCCTTTCTTCCTAGTCCTCCTTTAGAAGCTCTGCTGAAATCTGTTCAGCGTCATAACAACACACTGCCCTTGTTAGGAGCTATATATTTTGAAAAGTGTTCCAGAGGGAAAAATTGTTAAGATGGAATGTTTGGCTTTTGAGGATTAAATCTTTAATAACTCATGAAAATTCCTTTATTCTTATAAAAGATTTATTTTATTACTTGATAATTTGTTGACATACTATCAGATCAATACACCCTTTGTTGGGAAGGCAAGTCTTTAGTAGGAATTTTTTAAAAGAGGAATTTCATAACATCTACCACATGAGCACAGTCATGACAGGCAAGAGACAACAGCATATCTTCTTTTGTTGGGTAATAGTCATTTAACAAGGTTTTTATTGCCTGTCTAAGCACAGTGTTCTAAGTAGGTTATGTGGCTTCATTATTCTTCATCAGAATATTTTTTCTCTTCCATGACTAGCAAAAGTCACCATTCGTTCAATGTAAATTTATTTGAAAAAATAAAATTTTCTGTGCTATCTACTGTGCTAGGTGCTATTGTTATTGTTAGGTGCTGTGGAGTCAATTCTGACTCATAGTGATACAGTGTGACAGAGTAGAACTGCCCCAAAGGGTTTTGTAGGCTGTAATCTTTATGGGAGCAGATTGCCAGGTCTTTCTCCCACAGAGCCACTGAGTAGGTTTGAACTGCCAACCTTTTGGTTAGCAGCCAAATGCTGCTAGGGGTATGGAAATGAGTAAGACATGTTATTAGGGAACTTTCAGTCTTTTGAGTTTAATGGATGTGAAGGACAAGTAGACTTATCAATTATAAAGTGATGAAAAATATGTTTAGGATCCCACGGGAGCATGAAAGAAGACTATCTAATTCAGAGTGGGGGCTGAATTTTTTTTTTTTTTTTGGTGACAGTATACACAGCAAAACATACACCAGTTCAACACTTCCTACAAGTATAGTTCAGTGACAGTGGTTGCATTCTTCAAATTGTGCCATCATTCTCGATATCCCTTTCCAAATTATTTAACATAAACTCATTGTGGGGGCTGCATCTTGGAAGATGGTTAGCAGTTAATTGAGGATGAAGGGAGAGGGATATTATCAGTATGTGTATATAGGGAGTATGTGGGAAGTGCTGTTACTCTTCCATTTCTGAAGATGGAGTGATAGGTTCTTGGGTGTTCGTAGTATTATTTATACCATCTGTATATCAGAAGACTTTTGTAATAAGTATTTTTTTAATCATTAGGACTTGGCATTCATTTATTTAGGTTGGTAATAAAATATCCTGCAGGGTAGGAATTTGCTATTTTATAGAAAATAGGGGCAGCAGTACTATATGTGAGAAAAATACATGAGTGAAGATAATACATAAGATAAGCTTACATATTTACCTTTGAAGGATAAATTTTATTTTAGGGAAACTTTTTACTGCTGTGGAAATTAAGATTTAAAAAAAATTTTTGTAACCATTTGTTTTCTATTACTCGTTTTCAGTTTTAAGACAGAATCTGTCTTTTAAAATGTCCTGTCTTTAATCTTTTTTGTTGTATGCTGCTGTGTACAAATAGGCATTTAATGCTTTCTTTTGATTTTGATGAAAATGTTTATATTCTGGTCCATTGACTTAATGTTAATTTTTTAAGCTAATGATTTTTGGAGAATTAGATAACACAATTTCTGAATCACTTTGGAAGATTTTTCTTTTTTCTAGTTTTAGTTACAGAATACATTATTTGGATTAAGACTTAAGAAAGAATGCATGTAGTAAAAGCTTAGTTTGGATTAAGACTTAAGCAAGAATGCATGTAATAAAAGCTTAGTTTTCTAAGAAGATACTTGATCTTAGAAATATGATAGCTTCTTAAGAAAACAGTCATGTAATTTTTTTTCTCTTTCAGACTTTCTAAGAAAAGTCTATAGCATCCTTTCTCTGCAAGTTTTCTTAACTACAATGACATGCACAGTTTCTTTATACTTTGAGTCTATACGGACATTTATACATGAAAGGTAAGCTAATGAGGCAATTTTGAACCATTTCAAAATCACATTGCATACGATCAAGAGGACATATTAAAAGCAAAGTTCATTATTTTTTTCTGTTAGCTTTTGAGATAGGAATGTAAGAAAAGTTCATTATCTAACGCTTGAAAGATTTGTTTTCATAACTAAAATGCTCCACAACTTAGTTGTTTACCTCTGCATTTTTTTTTTTTAGCTTACATTATTTTAGGCTTAAACCTTTATCTCCTGAGATAGTACTAAGAATTTTTACTGCATGAAGCTTATCTTTTTTAAGTCTTAATTTTTCTGCTTTATTAGATTATATGCCCTATTGCCTCATTCATCTTTATATCCCCAAAGTCTAAGATAGTACTTGGAAAATACTTATTTTTAATTAATTAAAGTTAATTAATTAATTAAGTTCATGACTAGGATAATTTTATGGAGAAGTTTTCCAAAAAGAGCTACATTTGATTCATCCCTAATTCATTTAAGATCTGACCTCCAAAATAATTATTTCCATGGCTAAAAGTAATACAGGTTCTTTTTATTAAAGGAAAGCAAAAATAAAGAATGAATATTTTCTTAGAAGTAGAAATTTCTATACTTTCTCCCCCCAAAAAAGGGGAGTATTAAGCTATTAGTTTGTTATTCAGGATAAATTCTTTAATTTAAATTATAGCTATTTGGTAAAGACCCTAAAAAAGAAGTTATGTACAAAATTTGTTTATTATTTAATAGTTTCATTTATTGCGTTTTAGTTAAAAAGGTTGTATGCTAATTGTAAAAAAATTTCAAATGTGGTAGAAGCTCATGAAGTAAAACAGGAAAACTCTCCCCCATTCATTGTAGACTCTTTTCTTTGTCCTGACCCTCCTCTCCACACTCCTTAGGTTTTCCAGATGTAAAAATAATTTGTTCTGACAGTTTGGTATGGATCTTTCCAGACATTTTTCTGTATTTTCATAAACACATAAAAGACATGTCTTACTAAGTTCGATAATGCCACTTATGCTATTTTAAACTTGAAAACGCTTTTAATATTTTGTCTTTCAGTCCTGCCTTAATTTTGGTGTTTGCCCTTGGAAGTTTGGGTTTGATTTTAGCATTGACTCTGAACAGACATAAGCATCCCCTTAACCTGTACCTGCTTTTTGGATTTGTGAGTACTTTGACAGTGTCTATTCCTTTAATGTTCATTCCTGAGTTTTACGTATATTTATTTAATTGTATACACATACATACATAACAATACCAGAACAAATTTAATTTCTTTTTAAATTAGGGTATTTTAGGAAATTACTTGTAATTTTGTGGCTTTCTATTATTTTTAACTCTCAGTTTCAAAGGTTTTTTTGGTCAATATTAGGATACAGTAGAAAAATACTGAATTAGAATTAGATGACCTGGTTTTGCTACTATCTGGTTACATGACATTTGGTAAGGCACTCATTAGCTTTTTTACCTAAGTTTTCTCATACGTAAAATGAAAATATTAGATTATCCTTGTGATACTTTCTGCTTCCACCTTGGGAAAAAATTATATTGTGGCCTTAATTTCATAGAAGTTAAATTGAAATCTTTTTATGATTTAACTCCTCACTGTTATTTTTATCTTATTGCTGTGTTCTTTCAAAGGACCACTTTGCTCAAATGCTTTGCTTTCTAACTTCTTTTAAAATCACAGTTGGGAGAAACCAATATTAATTCATATTTGTTGGGTGATTTGTAAAAAATAAAACCTACCTATAAAAGCTCATTCTTAAAATATGACCAGAATGAGTTGCTGGGAGTCAAGGTTATATATATATATTTTCAGTTATTTTTCCTCTTTTCATATCAATGAGTTCTGGCCTAAAAAATTAGTTAAAACATTCCAAACTTATTTTAAGAATATCTGTAGTCAAATAAGAGTCAAAATTCTAATTAGTGTTAAAGTGCTTTAAACTAAAGAAAGTTTGTGAATTCTGATAATGAGTTTATGTTAATACGATGAAAGAAGAGCTCATGATTTTGGAAGTTTCAATTATAAAAAAAGTTATTTAAATCTTAGGTTCTTTCGTTTGCAAGGTATCAACCCTAACTCAAGTTGTCTCAAGTAATGAGGAGTTTATTTTAAGGATGTAAGAGCTTGGAAACTCACCAACCCTAACCCACCAGGCCTCAAGAATAGGAACTGGAAGAAGGTTCTAGAAATAATGGTAGTTTAGGAAATTCAGCAGCAAGAGTTGGTGGTATCTTCTCTCCCTTCCATCTCTTCTTTACCTCAGGCTGTCCTTATACATAGTTTTTCCTCCTTACTGTTTTAGTTTTTATGTGGCCCATTGTGGGCCCCATCTACTTCATTCACCTTTTAGCTTTAGCCCCCACTGCCAGTTGTTTCATTTTCTTAGTTTAGATTCCTGATCAAGTATGAATCTGATTGGCAGAGCTTATTATTGACACAGGTCACACAATAGATTGTTAGCCAGTATATGGGTTGGCAGTCCATGGATCAGAGATCAGATGCTTATTCCTTGCCCTGTCAACTATGACCCAGTAGAGAGGGAGAAGGTACAAAAAGAAAACGGGAGTCATGTGGAGTTCCTTTTCAATATGGACTGTGGTACATACAGCCTCTTCTAGAAAGACTATGCTTGACTTCTATATGAGAAAGGGTATGGGCCAACTTTTGGCCAGCGGGGAGAGGCCCCATTAGAAAAGCATTAGCGAAGTGTTTGTGAGAAAGACAGTCACTTATTGCTGTGATAAATAATAACTGTTGATCATGCTTATAGCTAAAGATGGTTTCGCAAATAAGGAAGCATGTAAAATACATTTCATCACATTTCTCAGAGGGCTTTGTCCTCCACCAAAATAAGAAAGGAGGTGAGCCTTACCTTGCCTTGAGAGGCATGTGTATACATATATTTAAAAAGAGGGAATTATTTTGTAGTTGTTTTTATCATGTTTTCATAGTCTTTTATCTTTATTCCTATTTGTACTGTCCTGTTTCCTTCAGAGGCTTGAGTATGAGGGTATTTCTTCCTTAAAATCATGTCGCAAATATCAAATTTTCTGTTGCCCAGATAAAAAGATTTCTTTTATCTTTTGTTACCACTTCCCCTGGAACTACCAACAACATTATAACAAAACCTGGGAGCAACTTGGTTGCCTCTACACCTATGTACAGTTTCTAACAGCATTTTTGTTCTGTTCTGATGATTTCTTGATTTTGGGTAGGGGTGGGGTGCAGGGAGTGCTTCTACCAGGAGTATGATTATACAGCCAGTACTGATACTTTAAAGGAGCCCTGGTAGTGCAGTGGTTAAGTGCTTGGTTGCTAACTGAAGGGTTGGTGGTTTGAACGCACCAGCTGCTCCATGGGAGAAAGATGTGGCAGTATGCTTCCATAAAGATTACAGCCTTGGAAACCCTATGGGGCAGATCTACTCTGTCCTGTATGGTCTCTGTGAGTTGAAAGCGACTCGATGGCAACGGGTTTTTGGTTTACTGATACTTTTGGCTTTGCATTTTGTGATATGGTCTATTTAATGGTTGACAAAATCGGACTAGAGTAAGCATGTAAAACAAAACAATAATATGTAACTAAGGGGAAACAGAGGTTAGCAGGCAAAGCTCAATATCCCCTAATATTTTATTTACGATGTGGGTTCATCTACTTGTGACAGAGACTCAAAATAACAATGACTTAAATAAGATACTTTATTTCTCTTTCATGTACAAATCTGAATGAGTTTTCTGTTCATTGAAGTTGTCAGGGCCCAGCCTCCTCCTATTGTTAGGCATTTCTAGAGTGTTGCATGGTATAAGATAGCTCACCACCACATCCACGGTCCATCCAGTCACACACACACACACAAAAAAAAGAGAATAGAAAGGGGAGAACAAGACTTTTTGCTTTTAGAGCACAGTTTGGAAGCTGTATATCTCCCTACTCACATCTCATTGGTTAGAATACATGGCCAGACCTAGCTACAAGAGAGGCTGAAAATGTAATGTTTATAATCTGAGCAGCAGTGTGTCCAGCCAAAAATTCTGTTATAAGGGAAGAAGGGGAGAGAGAATATTGGGGGACAGCTTCAAGATTCTGCCACACCTAAATAGTACTGCCTAAATATTTTGTTTTTCTTATATTGTGTGAGATACTGAGATTTTTTTATAAACTACATGTAATTTGCAGTTTTCACTTTTATTTGCATTACAGAGAGTGTGAAAAATAGAATTTCCTATATTATTTGTAAATAATAAACTTCCTGTTACAGATATGAACAATCTGATTAGGGTTTAAAGAGTGACAGAATCACAACTAGAATCTACATGTACTTACCCTGTATACTGAGGTCCCATTTTCTTTATAGTGGGCATAGTATCTTTCCCACATCTTTACAAGGCTGCTCTGAAACTAAAATGGGATCATGCATACGGAACTACACTGAACTCCTAGAAATTAAAAAAATGTGAGATAGTCTAAATTTTACATGCATTTATATAATTTTAGTTTCTTTTTCTTAGACACTGCTGGAAGCTCTGACTGTGGCCATTGTTGGTAAGCTGTAATTGTGCTGCTGTATGTTAGAGTATGTTTTTAATGTGAACAAATCTTGAGGGTAAAAAGGTGTTTGGGACTAAAGCTTAGCATCATGGAATGTCATATTCCAAAAATAGGCATAGGAGGAAGAAATTCTTAGAATACAAGCAAAAGTCAAATGTTTATACTTTACATAGTTCAGTTTAGCTTGGAGGTAGTGGAAAATAAGGAAAACAAGAGGCCTAGAGGACATATTTCATCTGCATTTCTCCATTTATAAAATTAAGACAACTATAGCTAGTCTTTTCCATAATTGAAGGGGATCTTACGGGAACTGATAACTTGTTTTTTGAGGCATATACTTTGATCACTTGAGTTTAGCCCGTTGAAGTGCTGCCTGCATTGAACTGTGCTTTTACGTTTATATCCTCATATTTTATCAACTGGCACCATAAGAAACAGTGGTAATTTCTGTTTCTATGTTTGGTGATAAGCATGTGTTTGAAGGCAAATGTCTTTCATCATTACTTGATGTACCCTATGTAATGCCTCAAGTAAAAACTTCATTATTTATTCTGATTGTCTCGATGAAATGGTTAACCTTGTCTGCCAAAAAAGGTCAGAGTCAGCTCTTATATTCAGTAACAGTAAATTGTTAATCCTTAACGGTTATTATTATGTATCTCCTCCTATTTTGTCATTACGGTTTTTACTGTTCTCTTCCAATTTTATTGAATCTATATATTTTGGTAACCCACTTCTTCCTTTTTTAAGAGAGTCGGTATGTATAAATAGTAATAAATACTAAAATAAATAAAATTGAAATTTCTCAACTTAAAACAGAGTATTATTGTTTACTTACTATTAATTTTATTATCAAATCCATCTTCTGCCTCCTCCTTCCCTCAACATGTATAAGGGATGTAGGAGAGAGATTTGTTTCAGTATTACTGGAATTGGGAGTAGGAATACATAGATGGGATAATCTGAAAAATCATTTTTCTCATTAATTATAACATCTTTTTCTCCCTAATTGTAAACTGAAATTAATGACAAGTGTGAAAACTGACTTCATGTTTTATTTTTGTGTGTGTGTTTTTACCTTCCTACCCCTATAATGACATAAACAGAGAAATTCCAATAATGTATCATTTAGGAATAGAAATAACTTGGATAATTAATCTCTGAAAAATTAAAAGTTACTTAGTTTTGAGTTCAAAGCACTTGACCTCCTCTTAAAATGTTATAAGTTATCTTTCTGTTAAAATGTTAAGCAGTTGTATTATCATAGCCATAGTCAATCCAGATGGTCATTCTAAAATTACAGAAGAGAATTTGGTATGTATTCAGTACCAGATACCAAACCTACGATAACGCATTCCAAGGGAATTCAGATTTGGATACAAAGCAATTAGTGGTTGGTTTCTATCCTCTGCAGGGTAGGGGAATGACAGTCAAGCCCAGACAGCATCAGTAAGTTTTCTTGCCCAATTTCCTTGAATGGGACTGATGAACTAAGTGGCAACTAACAAGTGATTGCTAGAATGGATGCTACTATCCAAGAATTCCCAGCAAGCCACAGGACACAGAATCATCACTACTAATATTTAAACCATGAGGGACAACTACCACCAACTGTAGCTGAGACAGGAATAGTTGAGAATTATTCCGTCATTATTGCTGGAACTCCTGATTGGCTAGCTGTGCATTATCTTGCCACTCATTTCATTAATTTCATAATAATATGAGCCCTTGTTTTGTATGATTGAATTTTTTGGAGCCTCTATTGCATTATGGGCATATACCAGTATTCAAGGCTGAATAAGGAATCTTTCCATAATTGTTTTTATTGGCAAGTAGTACAGAAGGAGATATAAAGTATTTCTGTTAAATGCCAAATAGAGTTGTTTTTTATTGAGCATGTTTATATGCATTCTTAATCAGTGTTTTAATTTTACAGTCACTTTCTATGATGTATACATTATTCTACAAGCTTTTATACTGACTACTGCAGTATTTCTTGGTTTAACTGCATATACTCTACAATCTAAGAGAGATTTTAGCAAATTTGGAGCAGGGTAAGTTATATATTCTTGGCTATAATGATAGATGTCTTTAATATTATAGTTTTGAGAGAAATGCCATGCTCTTATCTTTCAGTACTAACTTTTAATAGTGGGCAATAGGAGATCATCTCTTTGAATACTAGGGCCAGGTCTGCTCTTTCCCAGAGCACACAAGGAGATAGTGACTTTGAGTCATTTGATTCTTCTCTATAGTGAAAAGGAAGTGAGTATCAAAAATACCAGCTTTTGAGAGGCTAGACTTGGATGCTTTATATGAAAAGTGTGCAATTTACTTAAAGTATTTAGGCCTTTATCTTAATATAAATGCTATCAAGACCATCCACATCTTTGTGGCAAAAAAGCAAGGTAATTAATTCTCCCAGGTGTTGGAGATGTATGCATGCATCTTCAAACAAATCAGTGGAATGATCTTTTCATATTAGGATAATGGTACTCTGTTGCCCTCACCTGGTAGGAATGCATAGACTCTTTTCTAAGCTCCCAATGGCTTCCTACTGGCACATAATCAATCACCCAGTCATTTTCTGTTGTTTTTTCCTGTTACAACACTAAAAATTTACAAAAGTCTGCTCTTGCCAAACTTCCTTTTTCCCCCTTATGTTTCTGGTAACCCAAATTACCAGAATTCTCTATCAGGATAAAATACAGTTAGTCAGCCAGTACTGACCATTCATTGTGCAACCTGCTTAAATAGTTTTATTAGAATAGAGTTTGATTTAGGGAGAGGCAACATTTTCTTTTGGGGAGCTATTTCATACATATTTTTGTGATGTATATGATGAAAGGTTTGCTCTTCCCAACCCAGTTTCCTCCTGTTCTGTTCTCTCCCATCCATTCTAGTGTACTCTCTGGAACTCCTGCTAAACAATCTCTCTATTTCAGCCTCTTCATAATATATTTTCCTTTTCCTTCTCCTCCGTGAGAACACTGTCCTGTAGCTGCTGTTTCATATATTTTGTTTGGTTTTTAGTTAAGAAGGGAGGGTAAATTTGGCCTTTGTTACTCCCTTGTGACCTGAAGCAGCAGATAGGTGTATTTGGGCTCCCAAGTTTCATATTTGATAACAAAGGACTGACTTCTTAGATATCCTTTGTCATATAATTATACTTTCTCTCTAACAGTTGAGTGGTAACTCAAAATTATAGCAGTGGCAAATTTACATACATAAATTAAGTTCTATAATAAGAATGGAATAGAGTACGCAGAAGAACTTTGATATGCACATTCTTAGAATAGCTTGCTATTATTATTTGATTTAAAGTACAATTACATTTCATTTGTTCATGTATATATTTTCTAGGTTTTATAGTTTACTGAATTAAAATGCATCCAATGATATTTCTGCTTATATCAGTATTTTCTTTGTTTCAATTAAAAACTTTTAAAATGATACTCTAAACTAGTTTTGTAAACCATAAAAACAAGTGTTGAATAGACAGCTGTGCTTTCAATTTCCTAAAATAAAAAACTCATCCAAAATGGGTATTGCATAGCATTCAATGTATGAGTTCTTACGTTTTAATTATTCTTTGGCAAAAATATGGATGGATTTCTTCTTGCAAGGCTCTTTGTTTTCTCAGAAAAATTTGAGTGGGCTTACAAAGTTTTTTGTAGTGAATAATATTCTAAATTATTAATATTTTGTTTTTATAGACTATTTGCTGTTTTGTGGATTTTGTGCTTATCAGGATTCTTGAAGGTAACTTAAAAAATAATTCTATGTCAATACAGTTAGTCCTTAACTTATGACAGGGTTCTGTTTCGATGACTCCTTCATAAGTTGGTTCTGACATAAGTTGAATACTTGCTTTTTTTTTTTAGTTTTCATTCTTATGCCTTTTATTATCTGTGTCTTTATAAATCTGATCTTTGTCTTTGGGGGTTGGAAATATTACATGTAAACTTGCAGATATATTTAATACATTCACACATAAAAAATACAGATTATAAAATCATAAAAATTTACTCCAGTGATGAAATTAACAACTGATGCTTCTGACGGCACAAAATGCTGAATAAGATCATGCTATAGGCCCTGGTGGCACAGTGGTTAAAGTGCTTGGCTGCCAACCAAAAGGTCCGTAGTTCGAACCCACCAGCTGCTCCTCGGGAGAAAGATGGGGCAGTTCTGCTCTGTCCTGTAGGGTCACTGTGAGTCGGAATCAACTTGACAGCAACAGGTTTTTTATAGGCCTGATATATAGTGAAGTTGGTGTGTGTCTTAACAATGAAGGCATGTGAGCAGTTCAATTGTCATATGTTGCTAAGAGTTGAATATTGCCCAACTTTCTATCTGTTATGACTCCCTACACCAACACTGACACTGACTTCATTGTAGACCAGGCCATAGCCTGCTCTACAGCAGTGTTTTGAACAGTAAACCATAACGTTGAACATCTGCGAGCGAACATCTGAGAATGATAACATCAGCAAATTACATGCTGCAACACTATATGTAATACATATTACTAACGATAAGATGTACAAATAAAGAAATAGTCATAAGTGCAGTGCGTCGTAACTTGAATATGTCGTAAGTCGGGGACTACCTGTATAATAATCTCAAAAAAGCTGTAATAGGTATTGTCATAATAGTTATAATTTGTCTGGAGCATTTATATATAAATGATTATAGAATAATCTCTTTATAAAATCAAGGTCTTATGTTGATCAGTATTATTGATTGAAAGAAAGGTGAACAAATGAGTTAAACCATATTAAAAGAGGCCCTTGTAATTATCAGCCTCCACGAGGCAGATTTAATTTGGAAAAGAAATATATTTCTAAATAATTTATATTTGAATGCTACTGTTCAAAGTAAAGTGGGTAGTTTAATGGAAAGGAAACTATCCATCCATTCATTCACCTAGCCATCTTCCCATCCAACAGAAGCAAGGATGGACCTACCTTGGCTTTTTCTGCTTTTAACATTTGTATTCAAAGTTGCACACCAATATTAAATACATACGTAGTAGTAGATCAGTGCAGCAAGTAATTTAAGTACTCTTATTACTGTTCTCAAATATAAACTTATTACTGTTGCCTATAGTTATTTTTTTATAGTGAGACAGTGGAGCTGGTTTTGGCTGCTGGGGGAGCCCTTCTTTTCTGTGGATTCATCATCTATGACACTCACTCACTGATGCATAGGCTATCACCTGAAGAGTATATATTGGCTACCATCAGCCTTTACTTGGATATCATCAATCTGTTCCTGCACCTGTTGCGTTTATTGGAAGCAGTTAATAAAAAGTGATTGAAAGCAATGTATAGAAACTGTTTTATTCAGTATTAAAATTCGAGATATAATTAAATATTAAATAATCTGTACTCTACTTTGGAGGTTAAATATCAAAATTCTGTTATTTTCTTCAATCTAAATTTGCCATACGTAGATTGCGCATTTGCAATTCCAAAATAATTTCATGAGTAGATTAGATTAAGAATATCTGTTTATCTTTGTCTAATAAATTTTTCCTTAATGATAGATTTTTATTATGATTCTAAAATACTAGTGTCTTTACTATTATAAAATGTAAATCTCCTTTTACTAGATTTTTTAATCTTATTTGGAAAAAAAAATTCCTAGATAATTATTCAGCACAGTATTAAAATTGTAGTAAAATGTTAATGGCATTTCATTATAAAATAATGTATTAAAAATTAAAGGTCTGCTTTAAAGTCAGATATTATGACATAAAATTTGATTTTAATTTTTTTTTAAGTACAGGTTTCACTTTTAAAATCATAACCTTCTCATGTAGTTAGAGGACCCCAAAAATACTCATTTATCATTAGTAGTTATTTATTAGGGGCTGAGCGGTTCATATGTCATTAAATATATATATATATACTTCAAAATAAAAGTGTTTGGAAAATAGTGTTTTGTGATTGATTTCATTTGTGTTGGGCCACACAAAATGTTAGGTTGCCAGCTGCCAGCAAAGCTTTGGGAAGTTCCCTCACTAAGCACCATTTCCCAGATAGGAAATGGAAATAAATTAGTACTACAGATTTAGCTTCCAGAGATTTTTAGATGTAAATTTGGCCCCCTCCTCATTATCATTTAATTGTTGAATACTCAAATGTTCGTGGCTGTGTATTCAAGTTTAACCCCGCACAGTGGGTAAGAGCATGTAGGTTAGAGCTTGCTATCCAGGCAACTGACTGTGATCTTGGGTGAGTTACTTACCCATCCTTGCTTAGGTCTTTTGCCTCATATTTATGATTTAATCACTTTGCCACCAGGGCTCCTTTATCTTCATGATAGGAAAAATAATAATAATGCCTTATATATTAGGTGGTTGTGAGGATTAAATTAGATATATATATTAACAGTGCTTAATTAATGCCGGTTTTATTTATATTATTAATATTTTTAATCAAAAGGCAGAATGGACTGAACTGTTAATTAAAGACTAAGCAAAAGTAGATTTGATATTTTAAAAATATAAAACAGTGCTGTTCTTGTCACTAAATTATTTTTTGGTTTGGAAAATAGTCATTTTTCATAAAAGTTAACATGCGATGAATTTATCATTTTTTAATTAAAACTTTTAATTTCTAATATGATTAATATAATTTTTAAGAATATAAAGGGATCTCAAGAACAAGAAGTTTAAAAACCTCTGGTGTAGAGTATTTTATAAATGAACCATAGTTATTTTTACATTCTTCTGTCAATGAATTTTGTATGTTTTCTCCACTGTCACAGTCAGTGCTACTATGGATGTCCCTGTATATGGCTCACTGTACGTAGGTGTGAGTTTGCCTAGGCTGAGGAATAAGCAGAATTTCTGGATAAGGGCATATGCAATTTCAGTTTTTTACATCAAGTAAAGTCTGGTGCAGACTCCAGAAATATTAAGTGGAACTATCAGGACTTGGACAGAGCCACACAGGTAACTCATTGTGTGAGGAACAAAGGAAGAAGAGCCAGAGAGGTAGGAGGAAAGTGAGGAAAGAGCAGTATCTCAGTACTTCTGTATTTATTGAATATGATTTGGGTAAAGAGGTGCACTAGGCTCTGTCATCTGCTTTTGTTTTTCTTCTGCAGGCCCCAGACCTGGCTTTGACCCACTTAATGCAGTTCTGGAGATTAGCTGGTGTCAGCACCAACCACAGGACTTTTTGGAGCAACTGGGAACTTCTTGCTTGTTTCTTTCACCTTTGTAGAGCTTTGTCTTGAAACATCCCCATTATCTAGCATCAGGCAAGGTAGGGTCACCATCTGGAATCCCAGAATCCTTCCTGGTCCTTGTCATGATGCAGATCACAGGTTCCATGGGATAGGCCTGTCTGCAGGAGCCCATAGCATGCCTTTGAGATGGGGAACCAGGCAACCTTCTGCCAGGTATTCAGTACTACCACTGTACCTCCAGTTCCATAAACTTTCCAACTCTGCAAGAAGCCAAAGCAATATCCAGTTTGATCCTTAGACCTTGTCCCTCCATCAGGGGATAAAGTTTCTTGAAGACGTAGTTCAGTTTCCTTCATCTTTGTATATCTACCCATTGCCGTCGAGTGGATTCTGACTCATAGCGACTCTACAGAATAGAACTGTCCCACAGGCTTTCCAAGGAGTGGCTGGTGGATTTGAACTGCCAACCTTTTGGTTAGCAGCCATAGTTGCTATAGCTTTTAACCACTGTGCCACCAGGGCCCCATATCTAGTATACTGCCTATCAAACAGTACATATTCACATATTTGAATGAGGGAATGAATTAAGGAATTTTAAATACACTAAGGGCAGTGGTGGTTCAGTGGTACAATTCTCACCTTCTATACAGGAGACCTGGATTTGATTTCAGTCAATGAACCTCATGCACAGTCACCACCCATCTGTCAGTGGAGGCTTACGTGTTGCTACGAGGCTGAACTGGTTTCAGTGGAACTTCCAGACTCGGATGGACTAGGAAGAAATGCCTGGTGATCCACTTCTGAAAAAAATCATCCAATGAAAATCTGTGGATCACAGTCGTGTCTACTACCAATCATGAGGATGACATTTTTGTTCCCCCTGTGTCTGGGATTACCAGGAGTCGGGCTGACTCGATGGCAGCTAACAACAAATACACTAAGACCATTTAACTATTCTGTTAGAACTGCTTTTATACAAACTGGTGAGGAACATCACAAAAATTTCAATAGTGCAGACCATGATTCAGCTTTGTAAAGCATTAGTAATGCTAAATTATGGCATATATTTTAACACCATGACATTTTCATAATAGTAATTTTCTGAATTATCTATTCAAAGTCTTGCTCTGGTATCTGTAGCAAGATACAGTCAATTTGGACTACCTGAAAACAGCTTTAATTTCAAATGCAATGTGTGTATATACTTTTGGGAGAGGTGGCTAAATTCTAATTTGAAACACTTAGATATATGGTTAACATGTAAAATAGAAATGCATTTCCTCTCAAAGAATTTAAAGAATCCAGTTTCCCAAGTATACTTGTTTTTTTTGTAATATTATGTGATTTTTTTTTTTGGTGGGGGAAGCTCTTTAAAAAAACAAAAACATTCTGAATTGAGTAATTTCCATACTATGCATGGTTTCTTAAAAGACACAAATTTAAAGGAAAAAAGCTATCAGCTAGACAGGACTTAACTATCATTAGGTGCCAACAAGTGGATTTTCCATTCATAGTGACAAGAGTAAAACTGCTCCAGAGGGTTTTCTAGGCTGTAATCTTTATGGGAGTAGACTGCCAGTCTTTCTTAGGTAGCAGCCTAGGGCTTAATCCTGTGTTGCCGGGGCTCCTTAAGGATTAACTAGGCCATCATTAAAGACAATTTCTTGCTTTTTGGTGTACACTGTAAATCTCTAGAAAATACTAAGAAATAGTACTATCTGGCTATGTGCTTACAACAAAGATGTAAAAATGATAAGAGCTACCATTTGTTGAGGTCACCTACCGAGGATCTGTGTTAGAAGGGGACTGTAATATCTTCACTTTACGGACGAGGAAATCCAGGCTCTGAGATGTTAATTACTCATCCACATCGCTCACAAGTAAGTTCTGGAGCCAAAAATACATCACAGACCTGTCTGGTTCCAAGGTCTATGCTATTAGGCGCATATGTAAAATAATACAAGAACTGGTGGTGGTCGTGACCAATGTGACCATCACGTAAGATAACTGTCCTAGGCTTAGCACTATCTAGTACATAGTTTTAAGTAATCAGCCAGGTAAACATTGAACTGAATTAGTTTGATCATTTTACCATTTGTACCCTTCTTTGGGATGGGAAAGTTTTTTTTTTTTTTTTGTAACAGCTTTATTGAAGTATAACTAACATACAACAAATTGCACATATTTAAAGTGAACAATTGATAAGTTTTTGAAATACGTGAAACCATCATCCGGGTTAGGAAAATTTAAGGGCTCCAAATTAATTATCCCAACCTGGCAGCTAGAAGAACACATGCCCTAGATGATTCCGTCTAAGGAGAACCGGGAGTATCAAGTGACGGGTGTGAGATCAAAAGGTCGGCTCCGACCTCCCTACCTGACTAGCAGGGACCAGACTCGGTTCACTTCTCTGGTTTGGGTCTCAGGGTCACCCAACCCACGTCCGGGATCTGGGAAGCGGGCGTAGCAAAAGTGCGAGCAGGATTCTCTTCCGCATTCCCAAAGCCCGGGTACTACACCAGTCTGAAAAGAGCTAAGAGACAGTCCGGAACTAACACCCAAAGCAGAAATTGCGTCACCGCCAGGCTCCCGAAGACCCCGCCTCTCGAGGCGTTTCTGGGCCGCTGTGGCTCCCGGCGTGCAACGCGCCCGCCGAAGGAGGGGCCTGTCCGGAAGGCGGAAGTGCGAAGGTTTCCGGTCGGTGTCATGGTCTTGCTGCGTGTGAGTTTGTGAGTGTTGTCCGGTGAGTTCAGAGCTTCCCGGGTCTAGTGGGGCTTGGGACTTGGAATTCATTTCCGCCGCATATAAAGACTCTTGTCTCAAGCTTCGTCCCTCTCTGGGCCAGGCTTTGTTCTGAGACGCAGATCTCCCTTAAGGGCGAGGGATTCCCGTGATCTTAGTGGCAGCCATCTGTCTTCCCCGTATTCAGGTTAATCCCAACCTCAAGGTTGTTTGTCGTTGTCAAATTGATGCCGAGTCATGGCGACCCCATGTGTGCAGAGTAGAACTACTGCATAGGGTTTTCAGGGTGTGACCTTTCGGAGCAGACCACCAGACCAGTCTTCTGAGGCGCTTCTGGCTGGGTTCCAGATGCCAACCGTTCAGCTGGTAGTCCAGCGCTTAACCGTTTTTTTTTTTTTGCGCCTCCTTCGGCTTCCTTCGCAGCCCTCTGTCTTAGCCCCTTCACGGGATTTGGGTTGTTGTAGACAAAGGGCAGAGTGAATTTGTGGCTGCTGGTGTCCAAACATTGTCACTCAAGGAGTGTGGTTTTTAGTTAGTCACTCAGCAAATATTTATACTATGTGCAAAGCGCTATGCATAGGGGGATCCAACTGTGAACAAGATCTACTTAGTCAAGACCTACTTAGCCCCTGCCTTCGTGGATACAGTAGGAAACAGAAAAACTAGATAATTTCAGATTGTAGCACGAATTATAAAGGAAATAAACAGATGATGTGATAGTGAATAAAGGGAGGGTAGATTACCGGGGTCAGAGAAGCCCTCTCTGAAGAAGTGAAGTTTACACTGGCATGAGGAATGCTCCAGCCTTGGGAAGAGCAGTTCCCAGGCAAAGGAGCAACAACTGTAATGGTACTGAGATGGACATAATTTGAACTTTTTTCATATGTAATTGGAGCTTGAGGTTGGTGGTGGAGAGTGAGATGAGATAAAGGAGGCAGGGGCCAGGTGGAAAGGTAGTGGCATGCTTCAAGCTTTTAAAAGCCCACACTAACCACCTTATGGAGGAGTTGGGGCTGGGACTCAGGGTTGAAGAGAAAGGAAGAGTAGAAATAGACCAGTTTAAAATAGGTTGGCTTGAGGGAGTGAATAATGAGGAAGACTGGGGCGCGGGAAGGGTAGGTTTGGGGACAAATCATTCAGTTACAAGAAGATGTTTATAAAAACATTGTATAATTTGTAAGCTCTTGTATACATGTAAGGTGATGATGCTCTTTGCATTTCTGGAGAAATTAAATTTCTGCATCTTGTAAGGAAACTCAAAGAGCTTTCAGAATTGGCTTGATTTTTAGTTTGCCAGTGGACACAAGAATGTTTGATTTGGTGTGGTTAAGAGCTACAGTGTACTAGGGCTGCTAACCAAAAAGGTCGGCAGTTTGAATCCACCTGCTGCTCCTTGGAAACCCTATGGGGGCAGTTCTACTCTGTCCTATAGGGTCTCTATGAGTCGGAATTGACGGCAATGGGTTTTGTTTTGTTTTGTTATTTAATGACTGTACATGCCATGTTGATCCTCACACAAATTGCATGTTAAATCATCATAAATCACGAACAGAGTGAAGCATTTTACCTTGCCTTTGTGTTTTGTTAAGTGATATGGGTGCTAACTAAAAAGTTCGCAGTTCAAATCCACCAGGTGCTCCTTGGAAACCTTTTGGGGCATTTCTACTGTGTGCTCTAGGGTCGCTGTGGGTTGGAATCGACTCAGTGGCCACGGGTTTTTTGTGTTTTGTAGAGGTATTTGTTGACCTGGTTTTCCAAGGATTTGCCTTTGTGTTTTTTTTTTTTGATAGTGTCTTAGGCTGGGTTCTCTAGAGAAGCAAAATCAGTAAAGCGTATAAATATATATAGAGAGAGAGATTGATATCAAGGAAATAGTTCATGCAATTGTAGAGGCTAAAACGTCCCAAGTCCACAGATCAGGGTAGAGGCCTCTCCGAGTTCACGTAGCCGCAGAAGCTGGCGAACCCAAGGTCGGCAGGTTGGGGAACCAGACTCTTGCTCGCAGGCTGAGAAGTTCGACGAATTCCAAGATCAGCAGGTAAGCTGCTAGCTCAAGTCCCACAAACCGGAGGTAAGACAGCAAGGGGCAGATGCTGAGTCTGGAACAAGCCAAAAACCTTGGCAAGGCGAGCAGGCAGAAAGTAACCTACAGAAGGCAGAGAGATGAAACTGAGGGCGGTGAGCTGCCACAGGCCCTGCCTCTGCCAGTACCACTCAGCAGATTCCATCATGGGGGTGATCACAACATTATACAACTGCTAAAACACTGAGAATAATGGTCTAGCCAAGTTGACATACAATCTTAACCATCACAGATAGTAAATTTTTGTTTTCGTATATGTATTTTTGTTAACTTTCCAGTTAAAACATGGCTAAAAGCTTACGGAGTAAGTGGAAAAGGAAGATGCGTGCTGAAAAGCGAAAAAAGAATGCCCCAAAGGAACTCGACAGACTTAAAAATATTCTCAGAGTAGACGGTGATGTTTTAATGAAAGACGTTCAAGACATAGCAACTGTTGTGGTACCCAAACATTGTCCAGAGAAAATGCAATGTGAGATGAATGATGAAAAAGGTGAGTTCATGTTTTTTTCTATCATTTTCCTTTCTGTGACTCTAAAGCCAGTTCATGTGAATAGGCATGTTTTGGATTGTTCAGGGTGGGACGTGTTTGCCTCAGTGTCTCAGGAATAGGTATACTATAGGAATAGACAAACAGACACACCCTGGGTGGAAGGGTTCACAGTTCAGTCAGGGTCTAGGCAGAATAGGAGGTCTTTCTTTATGTTACCTTTCACAAGATCTAGTTTCTGTTCTGAGTCCTACGTGCTTATACGTCGTTTTTAGAATGACAAGCTTTTGCTGTAATTGATTTTGACAGATTCTAGGGACCACTGTGTCTTAGTCATACTTAGAAAGTTTGAAGCTGTATGCAATGCTAATTTCAGCAGAAAAGTTTCAGTGGTTTTCACATTCTAATGCACCAGTTGGGCAGCACACTGAATTAAGCATTCTTAACACCCAGGCTTTTAAAGCATATTTATTTGGTGTGCTGTGATCAAGGAAGAAAGTGGCATTCTTCAGCCTTCCACTCCTAAAAGTTTCCTTTCCTCTTCTTCAGAATGTCTATTTCTTATTTTCTTTTCCCATTCTATCCCTCTGCCACCCCACACTAATAAAAACCATAAAAAGCTTTTTACCTTACCCTGTTTGAAAAATAGCAGCAGTCAAGAGAAATACCCTCACCTCCCCACTACCTAAACGTATAAGCCTCTGAATGTATAGTTTCTGTTTTCCTTCTTTTATTAATGCTTCTCTCAAAGGTGGCTTTCTCCACTTGTGTTCTGAATCCTCTCCCCTTTGCCTCCTCAAAGACTGTACTCATGCAGCTGTCCCCGTTATAAATCTCTACTTCTCTGCTGGGTTATTCCCAATAGCATAAACGTGCTCTGGGGTCTCCCATCTTACCGAAGAAAGAAAGAGAGAATGAACCTTCCCTTGATACAACATTTTTCTTAATCTGCTGCTGTATTTCATCCACACTTCTTGAAACACTTCCTATTGTTTGCTGTCTCCATTTTCTCACGCAGACACCACCCCTGCCTGTTCACTCTTTTTTTTAAATTGAGGTAAAATGCACCTAATTCAAAATTAACCATTTTAAAGTGTACAGTTCTGTGGCATTTACTACTTTCACAATGTTGTGCAACTATCACATCTGTCTAGTTCTAAAACATTTTTATAAATCCCAAAAAGAAACCCCATACCCATTAAGCAATCTCTTACCTTTCCCACCTCCTCCCAGCCCCTTGCAACTTTTAATCTGCTTTTTTGTCTCTATGGGTTTATTTATTCTGGATATTTCACATAAGTGGAATCATACAGTATGTGGCCTTTTGTGTCTTTCTTCTTTAACTCAGCATGTTTTTGAGGGACATCCACGTTGTGGTGTGTATGGATTCTTCATCCCTTTTTATGGCCGAATAATATTTCCTTGTATATGTAAACCACATTTTGTTTATCCAGTTCATCTGTTGATGGACTTTTGAGTTGTTTCCATTTTTTGGCTATTGTAAATAGTGCTGCTATGAACATTTGTGTACAAGTTTTTGTTTGAATACCTATTTTCACTTTTTTTGGGCATATACTTGGAAGTGGAATTCGTGGGTCAGATTGTAATTCTATGTTTAACTTTTTGTGGAACTGCTGAACTATTTTCCACATTGCTGCACTATTTTACGTTTCCACTGGCAGTGTACCAGCGTTCCACTTTCTCCATATCCTTGCCAACACTTGTTGTTTTTAGTTTTTGTTCTTACTGTTTTTACTGTAGTCAGCTTAGTAGGTATAAAGTGGTGTCTCAGTGTGGTTTTGATTTTCATTTCCTCAATAACTAATGAATAGCCACAACAATGGACTCAAACATACCAGTGATTATGAAGATGGTGCAGAACCATTCTGTTATACATAAGGTTGCCATGAGTTGGAGCCTACTCAACACCAACTAACAACAGTACCGACTAATGGCTGTTGAGCAATTTATTTACCATTGTGTATCTTCTTTGGAGAAATGTCTACTCAAGTCCTTTGCCTGTCTTTTTAAATTGGGTTTGTCTTTTTGTTCTTTATATGGTCTGAATATTAGATGCCCAAGCATTCTTGAATTTCTTGGCTCAATCCTCTAATTTTTTTTTCTCTCCTGTTTTTATTTTCCTTTTGTTATGTGCTTTCTGATTTCCTCAACTTTAGTTTTACGTTGTCTATTTTTGCTATAATATTTTCACTTTCCAAAGTTCTTTTTTGTTCTTTTACTGTTTCTTTCTTTCTTTTTTTAAAATAGTCTCCTATTCTTAATATATTATCGTCTCTGATCACTCTGAGGATGTTAATTACAGTTTGTTTGCTTTTGAAGTTTTTATCTACTCTGTGCATAGTCTGTCTTTCCTGTCAGGTCCCCGCCTTTCCATTCCTTTATTTTTTTGTCTGTCTTTCATATTAGAGATTTTTCTCAAATACCTAATGAATGTCTGTCTGTATTCAAAAGTGAGGGACTAAAATGATGATTCGAAGCTGCGGGACTGTCATGAGGGAATGTTTATTAACTGGTCGTCTTCACTGTAGAATGATTGAACAGGCCCCAGGTGGTTTTATTGGGAGATCTCCTATAGCAGTGTCTGTAGGTCTTTCGGGTTGATCATCATCTCTAGAGAGGAATCCTCTCGTCTCCTGCCTGAGGGAACGTCTGGCTGCCCTAATTCCTGGCGTATTAAAGGAGCTAAATGGGGGATGAGACTCAGGGCAGGGGTGTCTCCCCATTTAGTAATCTACCTGTATAAGTATGATTCCTCATTTCTGCTTCAACTGACCTCACGTTTCTCCTTATTTCTGTTTTTTCAACTGCCCCTCCCCCACTACTCAACAGTTTCTTAAGCCACAGACCTAGTGGTCATTCTTGATCCCTCTTTCCTTTATCCCGCACATCTAAACCATTAGCAAGTCTTAAGGATTATCCCAAAAATACGTCAGGAGTCTATCCATTTTTCTCCAGCTTTCATGTTGTCACCTGTATCCAAACCACTGTCAACTCTTGCCTGTACCATGATAATAACTTTTTTGCTTCTTTCTGCTTCAGCTCTTGTTCCCTTCTGATTTACCTTCTACATAGCAGCCAGTTGTTTTTTTTTTTTTTTCAGTGCATAAACCAGATTTTGTCACTTCTGTGTTTTTTTAAACCCCTCATTGCCTTCCCATGTGCTTCCCAGAGCCTACCATGTTTATGATTAGGCTCCTTTTCCTCTCTTACAAACCACTTACTACGGGCTGAGATTTTGTTTCCTTTGTTATTCTTCCTTCAAAAGAACATTGTAAACTCCATGAGGGCAAGGAGCTTATAAGGACCACTATATCTCTAGTCCCTGGGATAGTACCTGAAGTACTGATTCAGCAGTTTATTGCGTGGCTATATACACCAGGCTGTATTCTAAGCACTGTGAAAACAGTGATGAATATCAGAGAAATAGCATTCATCCTAATGAAATTTACACTGGAGGAGACAGAAAATAAACCAGATAAATAAATTAATAGAATGCCAGGTAGGAGGAATCATGTGAGGCCTTGTATACTGTGGTGAGGTCCTGCAGAAGGACACAGTAGTTCATAATAGGTAAGGTTGATGATGGATATGACCACAGCATGGCTGTGCTGAGCTTCCTCACAAGCTTCTTATCAGTAGAGCTGGCTCTCTGGGTGCTGTCTGATAGAAAAAGTGTGGCAGCCTCAGGATATATCTGTATCTTTCCTCTCTGGCCCATCTCTCATCACAAGCCTGCTCCTTACTACTCCACCTCTTCCAAGCTCCCTTCATTATAAGTGGACAGTCATTCCTAATCGATCCGTTTACTTCTAAGGCCTATCCATTAAAAGTGTGGGGCACCCTTCTTATTGGCTCAGTTTAATCTTATTTAGCTCAAGTAATCTGAGAAATGTTCTTATAATGCGCATGTGCTCAGAGCTATAAACTTATCTCTAAAGCTCAAAGCCATATACCGGTATCTGCTTCCTATTTAACCTTTACTATTCCAAAGAAGGACGATCACGATAATATTTTTTAAAACGTTTCTCAGTGACTGACTAGGTGATGTCCTTAGTTCCTCACAAACACTTTATGTTTTTCATGGCTGCAGGAACATGTGGCAGCATGTATGTGATTCCACTGAATGTGCTATAAGGAGTTTTCAGAGTGTTACCCAAAGACCATTCCACAAATAAAGGATTTTTAAAAATCTTTTGTAGTGTCAGACTCTTCAGTTCTGACATTCTCAGCACATTAATATATTCTCACAGGATTGATTTTTCATACACGAGTGTTAATAGTTTTTCCATTCTTTATTCAGATGACATGAAAATGGAGACTGATACTAAGAGAAACAAAAAGAGTCTTCTAGACCAGCATGGACAGTACCCCGTATGGATGAACCAGAGGCAAAGAAAAAAGCTGAAGGCAAAGCGAGAGAAAGGAAAGGGAAAAAACAGAGGAAAAGCAGTGAAGGCAGCAAAAGGTTTAGCCTGGTAGACTCTTAAAAACTTGGAAACATGCCATAGGGCAGATATTTGATTAAAATGTATACATTGATTTCAGTTTCCACCAGATGAAAACTGTGTATTTCTGTATGCTAACTTGGCCTTTTTCTTTGATTCAAACTGAACGCAACTCAAGATTGTTTTAGGAACTTGAATAAAATATTTTCTGTGGTGAAGGAAAGCTATACTGATAGGTTAAATGGATGTTCTCCAGTATCCAGGTGTTCTCAGACATCAAAATTCTGTCAGGTATTAATCTGATTGTAATTATTGGTTGCTCTTACAACTTGATAATTATAGTCAGTAAATATAAAACAAATAATGTTATACTGACTAATTTAAGTTAACTCAGATTTACAGAAAGCTGTTACGCAAACAATTTTAAAACATTATGTCATTGGATCTTTTAAACGGTGCTTGTTTGGAGTTTGGATTTTGTATAATTCACAATAAAAGATATTTCGTGTGTAGATCTTGAAGTTTGATTTTTTCTTTACTAAATCCTTGAGAAAATAGTTTTCTAGTGGTAGAGAAGACTAGCTTCTTCAGTTAAATTTTTTTTTTAAAGTCTTAATTTTTAAGTAGAATGTTAACATGTACAAATTAGTATGCTCTGTGATTTTAAGAGATTAAAACATCTCAGATTTTATCTGGGAACTGTACCTACTGTCTTATTGACTATCTCATTATCCGACATTTTGCATTTATGACAATAGTAAAAAAAAAATCCAGCGTCTGACTATTTTGTGCATTAATGACATGCCTGGCAGTAACAAATGCTGAGGTGCAAGGCAAGAGTGATGCTGGCTGTGATGGTTAAGGTTATGTGTCAGCTTGGCTGGGCCATGATTCTCAGTGGTCTGGCAGTTATGTAATGATGTAATTTGGCAGTTATGTAATAATGTAGTCATCCTCCATTTTTGTGATCTGATGTGGTCATCCTCCATTTTCACATAACAACCTGGTCTTTGGAACCTAACAGTGTCAATAAGTGAGGAGTGCGTGTAGTTTAATGTTATTTGACTTTTATATTACGTAGCCTAATACAGTATAATGCAACATTTCCTAGAGTAAATTCCTCAGAATCAGTTCTTCTGTTGGTTGGTGGAAAAGAGAATTCTGTGGTCACATCAGTTTGGGAAATGCTACATGCTTGAGGAATCACTATAAGTATTAGCAGTAGTCTTATAGAGGTCTAGCAATAAAGCAACCTGTTTAACTTTGACTCTTGGAAACTGGTATTCTGAGAACTAAAATATACTGTTGGAAATGCTGATCTAATGAAGTGATTGTTAATTAAGTCTGTCTTGCTATAGTTTTCTAATTACATTCAATTTAAATTTATTTTTAGTTAAGCAATCTAAATTTGGCATTACCCCTGAAATTTCACCATAATCCAGTTTGTTCACTGGGACAATACTGAGCACCTACTGTGTGCTAGGGACTTTTCTGGGTACTGGGGACACAGGGAGCAAGACAAAGTGTCTGTCCTATAGGGCCGACGGAGCTGTACATCTGCTCAGAAGAGGGTGTTAACTTTAGAGAACAGCCAAGTTAAAAGTGAGATTCACTAGAATGAGGTCATTGAGTCATCAGTTCACACACTTTGTGCCATGCACACTGCTAGGCTGGGGCACAATGTAGAGATAAAGACGACATGACCTAGATCATTTAGGAGATTGGAATCTATAAAATTTAATGCCATGAAATCTTGAAATTATTTTAATGTAATAGACTTTTCCGAATTTACTCAATGGCTAGTTTACTGAAAAGTTGTAGATAATTTAGAAACACTTAAATTTTCTCAAAAGAAGCTAAGAAGATGTAAGTAAAAAAATAAATGTCATTCATAGCTTTTTTTTGCCTTTTGGTATAGTTATAAACGGCAAATAGAGTGTGGGGAAAACTGAAGACACAAATATTTACTCATGAAATAAAAAGTTGGTAACATTATCCAATTAAACCATTGACAATATTAACCTAAATATACTAGCTAAATTCTTTGCCTTTTGTTTTTCATTGTAGGAGTTGTCTACGTCAGTGATATTACAGTCTTGGCACTTAGTTAAATTTGGGCAGCATTCTCAGGTATCTTCTCCTTGTATTTTCATTAAGGTGAAGTGAGAGACCAATGCCAGGGATGTGTTCACATGTTCTCTGGCTGATAACCTCTAACTGACTCCAAATGATAGTAGTTTTGAGCAGTTTCATCCAGGGCCTCTTGATGATGTTAGGATGTTTACTTAAGTTTGTCCAGTCATGATTTAATGTGAAAGTTAAAATGAAAAAACGGCTACTATCAAAAAAGTCATTTGGGAAACGTTCCCAAGTGTCATATGACCTCTGAAAAGGTGGCTCCTGGAGAGAAGTTGCCTTGTACCATGTCGTGAGTAGGTTCTCTAAGGTACTAAGTTCTGAATTGCACTGCCAGCAAGGTTCCTTCTATCCCTAAATTTTGGCAGGAAATTTAGACTGGTATTCCAAATTACTGGAGGGGTATGTTTAAAAGATAACCACTTCTTTGTTTTATTCCTGAAGATTATAAATTGATACATATAGTGTAGACCTTTAATCTTTTAGATGATAGTTTACCCTTTTAAAATTTGTCATCTTTTTATTTCACTAATGTTTTCCAGAGAATTGCTGTAAAACCACCAGATGGAGCTCAAGTCAAGCACAAAACCATTCTTGAAATTAGATTGAATGGCTAAATCACATTAGCAATTGAATGTAACATTTTATTTTTGTTTTTAAAGAAGTTTAAGGACAATCAAAATTGCTCTCATTTATTGGTTTCTTACTGTATGTCAGGCTTTGGTTTAATGATTTAATTCTAAACTATTTTAAGAATTCATTCATTCAATCCACTCAGGAATCCTATGAGTTAGGTGCTAATATTTATACATGGGGAAACTGAGACACACAGGTCATTTAGCTAAAACTGAGAGAGCTGGAATTCAAATTCAGGGAGTCTGGCTCCAGAGCCTATACTCTTACAATGCTATTCTACCTCTCAAGAATGAGCAAACTTTTGCTAAGATAGAAAGGTAATTTTAAGGTAGAATGCCTATTTTGGGGTCAGTCCATGATCGATTGGGATGATGCAGCCTCAGGATCCGATAAAGAGCAGGTTTCAGTAGACAAATGATTTCTAGAACTCTCCTCTAGTCTCTAGTCCTAAACTAGACTGGAGTTCTGTATATAGCACTCCCTAATGAATGGCCTGCCCCAATCCTAAAGGCGAATTTATAACCCATGACCGGTGAAACCCAAGCTACTAATAGAGAAGAAATGCAAACTCAGGTGAAGCTCTACGGTGGAATCCAGTAATGGTTTTGATCACATCTTTTTTTCTACTGACAGATTGATGTAGATTTTTTTCCCATTGGTTCACGTGCTACCTGAAATAAGTATGCTGTAGTATATTTGTGCTTGCAAGGAAATTTGGATATCTTCATAATTGGAATCTGTATAGCTGGGATATGATTTTTAGGAGTTGGAAAAGAAAAAAACAATGCTATAAACGACTTGATTTATATCTTCAATGGACTGGTGGTGAGGGATGGTAGTACGTAGTTTAGTGAAATGTAACCATAGAATAAAACAAAAAATTGAGAGGAGTCTAAAGAGACCTCAAGGAATAACCATACTTATTATAAATACTACAATTGAGATGCAGATATTGGGCTGTTGGCAAAGCTTGCTAGCTAAGTAGTCACTTCTGATGCCACCTGGCAGAGTTATGCAAATTTGTGCTAGACACAAAATATAATGATTTTCCCCTGTATTTGCTAGCACATAAAAACACCATTGCAGCAGACACCACCTATACAAGAAAATAGGGGGTGAGGTTGTTGTTGTTAGGTGCTGCTGAGTCGGTTCCAATTCATAGTGACCCTGTGTACAACAGAACAAAACACTGCCTGGTCCTGTGCCATCCTCACAATCGTGCTTAGCCCATTGTTGCAGCCACTGTGTCAGTCCACCTCTTTTTCGCTGACTCTCTACCAAGCATGATGTCCTTCTCCAGGGACTGGTCCCTCCTAATAACACGTTCAAAGTAAGTGAGATGGCGAAGTCTCACCATCCTCGCTTCTAAGAAGCATTCTGGCTGTGCTTCTTCCAAGACAGATTTGTTCGTTCTTCTAGCAGTCCATGGTATATACAATATTCTTTTCCAACACCATAATTCAAAGGCATCTGTTGTTCTTCAGTCTTCCTTATTTATTGTCCATCTTTCACATGCATATGAAAATATTGAAAATACCATGGCTTGAGTCAAGCGCACCTTAGTCTTCCAAATGACATCTTTGCTTTTTAACACTTTAAAGAAGTCTTCAGCAGCCAGTTTGCCCAGTGCAATATGTCGTCTGATTTCTTGACCACTGCTTCTATGGGCCTGGCCTTGATTGTGGATCCATTATCAGGGGTAGGATAGGGGCAGTTAAGTACTCACAACAGGTCAGAGCCCATTCTCCTGTCACAAGGGGCCTGTCAGGTAGTCACAGGGGCTAGGGCCAGGTTTGGCTGGGCCTGTTTGCAAACAGAAGTCCAAATTTTACATAGTTGAATGCCAAGGGTTTTTTGCACTTTTTAGAATAGGGGGAAAAAATATAATGTGATGTTAAATGAAACTTATTTTGTAGAATGATAGTAATGATAACACAATAGCCAACATTTTTAGAGAATGTTTAACTGTATGCCAGGCACTATGCTAAATACTTTACGTGTATACTTCATTTAATCTTTAAAACAACCCTACGGGATCAGAACACTCATTATCACTTATCTGATGAGGAAACAACTTTGAAAAGGTAGGTAAACTTGTCCAAAGACATGCAACTGTTGAGTTGTGGAGCAGCACTGTCCCAGAGAGTAGAATGAATACCCCTGATGGGAGACTACAGAGACAGACTTTGATTCCATCTAAGGAAGAACTTCCTAACCAAAATGTTGGAAGATGAAATGGACAGCCTTGGGAGTACTACCCTGTCAAGTGAAGGCCAGACAGCCACTTGGCTGGGATGTAGCTGAATGGATTCAGACATTGTACTTGGAATTTGGGTTGAAAGCAGTGAAAGTCCTTTCCAGCCAAGCAATGCCTTACGGGAAGTTATCACATCTGAAATGTATGATGTCTGTTTTGCTCTTACATGTCTTTTGGCACTACATGATTGCCAACTTAAGTATCTTCTTGGTGGAAATCACAGAATCTGAAATCTTAAATTTGTTACTGTTGTTAGGTCTGGTATTCGTTCTACTAAGTTCCACTTTAAAGTATGGAAAAATGTTATAAACATCTGCTTTAAATAATGAATGGGGTAAAGTCTTTCTAATTTTAATTTAAAGAATGGCATAGTTTTATAACACATTAATTGTATAATATGCAGAATGTATTTAATTTCCTACAGCAATGAATTGTCTGGCGTTATGCTATCTTATGAGACGCTTTCTCACTCTTACATTGTGTCTTTCTAGTTTTCAATATCGGCCAAACCTT